TGGAAGCTCATAGAACTATATACTTCATTACAGTAAGGTAACCTTATCTTAAATAAGGGTTGTATCTCTTAATGGAAGTAACTTCTTTCTTCCTTACATTATTCTTCCTTTCTTCAGTATTGGAAGATTGGAAAGTTTTGCATTAAAGAAATAGTATATAATCCAGCTGGCACATAAAATTAATTAAAAAATAGAACAATTTATTTGCTATAGGAAGGAGAAAGAATGTTTTGGGCGTAACTGTGTTCCACTCAACCCAACTTTTGAGAAATTTCAGTCTGATTCTGAGTTGGTCACACTTCAGTCCCTAAGTAGTAATGTGTAGCTTGTAATTATGATGATGATTATGATGATTGCTATTATTATCACATTGCATTTTTATCCCACTTTTTTCTATTGTGAGCCAGCTTACATAACTCCATTCTATACTAATATCAACCCTGGGAGGTAGGTTTGATTTATATTATGCCACAATTTCACAGATACCTGGAAGGTCATCAGTCTGACATATAAGAATGGTATGAAGTTCTAGAACAGTGTAAGTTATTATGCACCAAAGTCATGGCTGAGATACATCTAACTATCCTGCAAAGATTTAGAAGAAAATTTTTTAAAGATGCCCATGATTTAGTGGCATGTCAAGTACATCATGCTGATTAGTGTGATATCTAAGAAGCTGACTGTGCCTAAGATGACAAAAGTGTCTCTCGTTTGATTGCTAATAATCAGAATAATTCAGTGGAGGGCAGCCCTTTTAGAAAGTGTGCCATAAGTCAAATCTAAAGCCTGGGATACAATATTATAATATGGATTGGAGCTTTCCATGCATCAATATGATTTGTCTGCAGTCTACTGAGCCAGGAAATGAAAAGTAGCATCATACACCTCTTTCTATGGCATGGTGAAGTCCATGGGCCCTACTGCTATGAACTAAAATGGGTTTGCAGAAGCCAGTTAGTACAAGCGCGCGCGCGCGCGTGTGTGTGCGCGCGCGTGTGTGTGCATGTAATAGGACTGGAATAAGTATTTATCCCTGTGAAAAATTCCTCTGAATTCAGGATAATTTGATAGTAAGGTCACATATAATATTTGTTCTTTTAAACCATTTGTTGTTGTTGTTGTTGTTGTTAGTCATGAAGTCATGTCCAACCCATCGCGACCAAATGGACAACACTCCTCCAGGCCCTCCTGTCCTCCACCATCTCCTGGAGTCCACCCAAGCTCATGCCAACTGCCTCAGTGACTCCATCTAGCCGCCTCATCCTCTGCCGTCCCCTTCTTCTTTTGCCATCTATTGTTCCAAGCATTAGGTTCTTCTCCAGGGAGTCCTTCCTTCTCATTAGGTGGCCAAAGTATTTGAGTTTCATCTTCAGTATCTGGCCTTCTAAAGAGCAGTCAGGGTTGATCTCCTCTAGCACTGACCGGTTTGATCGCCTTGCTGTCCAAGGGACTCACAGGAGTCTCCTCCAGCACCACAATTCAAAGGCCTCAATCCTTTTGCGCTCAGCCTTCCTTATGGTCCAGCTTTCACAGCCATACATTGCAACTGGGAAAACCATAGCCTTGACTATAGGCACTTTTGTTGGCAGGGTGATGTCCCTGCTTTTTAGTATGCTGTCTAGATTTGCCATAGCTTTCCTCCCCAGGAGCAAGCGTCTTTTAATTTCTTGGCTGCAGTCCCTGTCTGCGGTGATCTTGGAGTCCAGGAAAATAAAATCTGTCACTACCTCCATTTCTTCCCCCTCTATTTGCCAGGAAGTGAGAGGACCGGATGCCATGATCTTAGCTTTCTTAATGTTGAGTTTCAAGCCAACTTTTGTGCTCTCCTCCTTTACCCGCATCAAGAGGCTCTTTAGTTCCTCTTCACCTTCTGCCATGAGAGTGGTATTATCTGCATATTTGAGGTTGTTGATATTTCTCCCAGCAATCTTAATTCCAACTGGTGATTCAACTAGCTCCGCCTTTCTCATGATGTGCTCTGCATATAAGTTAAATAGCAGGGCGACAGTATACAGCCTTGCCGAACTCCTTTCTCAATTTTGAACCAATCATTGGTTCCATGTCCAGTTCTCACTGCTGCTTCTTGACTCACATATAGGTTTTTCAAGAGACAAATAAGATGGTCTGGTACTCCCATCTCTTTAAGAACTTGCCACAATTTGTTGTGATCCACACAGTCAAAGGCTTTAGCATAGTCAATGAAGCAGAGGTAGATGTTTTTCTGGAACTCCCTAGCTTTCTCCATGATCCAGCGTACGTTGGCAATTTGATCTCTAGTTCCTCTGCCTCTTCGAAATCCTGACTGTACTTCTAGTAGTTCTCGGTCCACATACTGCTGGAGCCTAGCTTGTAGGATTTTGAGCATAACTTTGCTAGCATGTGAAATGAGTGCAATGGTGTGGTAGTTTGAACATTCTTTGTCATTGCCCTTCTTTGGGATCGGAATGTAAACTGACCTTTTCCAATCCTGTGGCCACTGTTGAGTTCTCCAAATTTGCTGGCATATTGAGTGTAGCACTTTTACTGCATTGTCTTTTAGGATTTTGAATAGCTCAGCTGGAATACTGTCACCTCCACTAGATTTGATGTTGCTCAGACTTCCTTAGGCCCATTTGACTTCACATTCCAGGATGTCTGTCTCAAGGTCAGTGACCACCCCATCGTGGTTATCAGGGACGTTAAGCTCTTTCTTGTATAGTTCTTCTGTGTAATCTTGCCACCTCTTCTTAAAGCCATTATGAGTTAGCAAAAATCTCTGCTGCTTGATCTTACGCATGTTTTATCAGAATTAATTCTAATAGTTCTGTAGGATTGCAGCTTTACTTTGAAATTTGGATATCCTCATGAAGCCGCTGATCCATGATATAAATATTGATGGGCCTCCTCCAGAAGCTCACTCCCACTCTCCTCTTTTTGGACACAGTTGTCCACTTCCATTGACTGCATAGATGTGAAGGGTTTCCCTATTCACAATAGCTCAGGTCCATCTTTTTCTTTTCTAAAGAAAAGAAAAGAGATTTGATATTTTGTTCTGTCCTGTTCAATTTCTACATAGACTAACATTGTCTAGCATCAACTTTTTCTAGTATTACTTCTGTACCATTTGTGCCCTTGATGTATTTCTTATTTAGTTGACATAGCAGTGTGGATTTTCACACTGCTAACTTGAGCTAGATGATAGAAAAACCTAGAAGACTTATTTATTTCTGTTTTATTTTAAGGTCTGAGAATTGCTTTCTATAAAACCATAAGTCATAGCAATATACTTTGAAAATGTCTTTTTTATCTAAACCCCAAGCACAATTCTGGGATTATGGTATATGCTATCGTTTGAAAAGCATACAAATTCCATTTAAAAAGTCTTTGTATAGTAGAAAATGACTTTTTTGAAATGCTAATTCATAGGGATTATATTTAGGATCTAAACAGTATGGTTTATGTTCAGGTAGCTGTGCATTTTTGTTTGACATATTTTGAACAGGTAGTTGAAATGAGTTTACATGTACCATAGCTTAATCGAAATATCAGCAAAAAGTATATATTTCCCAATCCTGAGGGAATGCAATTAATACTTAAATGACCAAGATGATTTACAGCTTGTTTTTCTTAATCGATTGCTCTGTGCTAGATTATAAGCATCTTTTGGATATTTGGATGTATTTATGATATTTATTTTCAGGTAATAAAAGTAAAGACAGTGAATTCTTATCCAAGGAACCTAAGTTAGGCTGGATCTATGTTGTTGTGGCTTTAGCATGTAGCCCAGCTGTTGCACAATCTGTTGGTTTTCCACTTGAGTAGATTTTTTTAATATATGGCAGTTTGAAACCTGAATGATACCATTCTTTCTGCCATCTTGTTTGCTGTATTATCCAGAGTTTAGAATAGGGGTGCAGAATATCAGGCCTGAGGGACCAAGCTGCCCTGCTTTTACTCATTCAGACCTTTGGGGTTTTCCCTGTCTAACCACCTTCCTCCCAGCTCAGGTGGCTTCTTGGATTCTGTACAGGTTTCTACTTTCTAAAAGGTTGAAGTGCCTCTCCTAAGGTTTAGTAAATGCATTAAAGGGGTTTATTTTAATATTTTGGGCTTGTCCCTAAGTTGCTTCTGAAATGATATTCAGTCCTTGGACAAAAAACGGTTCTTCACTCTTGCCTTGGAAGTTAGGGAGTTGTTGTGAAGGAGAGCTGTGTTAGAAAAAAGGGGGTACCAAGATGAAGAATAAAGTGAGAAATACAGAAATAACAAAATTCATGATCAAAGAATAGTGTAGGAAAGTACTTTAGAGCACTGTAGCTGTTTTTATTTTCTGAATAAAAATATTTTTAGTATATGAACAGTGTTTTATGTATTATATAGCATTTAACAGGAACTTTTATAAATTTAAGAGATAGTTCAATCACTTTTCATTTCAGGAGCCCTTCTGTGCTGAACCATCACTCTTCAAGCTAAAACAGCAGTATTGCAATGGGACCATTCAAGTAAAGAAAAGGAAAAATATACATTATCAATATGTAGCTGGCTATTTGGAGTCCTGAGAATTTTGAACAGTATTCATCCCTCTTCCCAGCATTTGATTCCAAAGCTAGTATAAATAGAAGCAAGATCAAAACATATGCAAGCATTTTTAGAACAAGAAATGCTAAAATGTCTACTGTGAGCACTGGAAGAAAATATATTTGTTAGAAGTACGCTCCTATAATTTGTTTGGATATAGTGTGTCTTTAACTTCCCCCTCTTTCTCTGTGTATGTAACACTACCACCAGGAATGCCATTCCAATATTATTAATTAATCTCTCCCTCGATACTGTTGCCAAGCTGTAAGGTTCCTTTGTTGGACTATGTGGTCCTGAGGATGAGATATTCAAACAGTCTAAGGACTATGGGTTAACAATAAACAAAATAAACCTTTATTTGTACAAATAGGCATATTGGTTTCAAGATGTTCAGTAACTTACTTCCTTAATGAACAAAACAGTAAATATATTCATTATTTTAGGAAACATTAACGCAAGATGGAAAAAGATGCAAAACAGGCATGGAAGACATTTGCACTGCAGCAGATAAAGATTCGAAGAATGAAAACAGCAATGAGGATAAAAAAGAAAAGACAAAATTACTGTTGGACCGGCTGAAGGCTCTAGAGGTAAGTTTACCTTTAACTCCTTCCATAAGGGGTCTCCTCTTTATCGGTACTGAACAGTGCTGCAATATAACTCTTCTCCTCCTCAGTTCACCTAAGCTCTTGTTACAATGTATTTTTGATCATGACTCATTAAACCAGGATAAATGAAATGCTCGATCTTGGAACCACTGAAATGATCCTTCTCTAATGTCAAGGATCATATATCCTTAAAAAGAAACTTCATAAATAAATGTAACTTGTTTCAAGCTTGAGGCTAACTCAAACCCACAGAGACTCTAATACATAAAAGTTAGTCCTTATGATTTACTTTCTGCAGTACAAACTACAAAAGGCTCCACCGTACTGGCCCCATTGTCCGTTTTTCCCCTTCTAAGGCAGCAAGTCTGGCCACAGTTCACTCTGGATGTGCCCTGATTTGGGTGATAGTGCTGCTGCTGCTGCTGCTGAATGGAGCACTAACAAAGCTCCCAGCTGGAAGGCGTGTGCTTGCCACTTCTTCTAGAGCAGCACTGCCAGTTGCTGCACATCGTTAGTTTGCCTGGAGCACAGGGATCAGAGGGACACAGGTGGTGTTCAGATATTCGCCACCAGGGCTACATAGTACAGCTGAGCTGTGGACAGGACTGTGGACAGTTGAAAACTGGGAGAGAAAGAGGGAGGGAGGGATTGACTACCTCCCACCTACACCCGCCCCAGAATATCCCAATATGGAATCCAGTATGTATAACCCCGACTGGCACCCATTTCCTACTGAGAGATGTAAGTATTGTTGAGCCAGTTGGAAGGAGTGTTCATTTTGCTATCAGATACTTTATAGGCCAGTAGGAAATGGGAAAGGAAGCCCCATGTAGTCCAATTTAATTTCAAAAGAAGAAACTTTGAGGAACTGAAAGCAGCAGCAGAAGGAAGTTGAAAATGTATGTTAAGAAAGTTAGATCTCTCCAGAGCTCTTTTGGTTTATTCAAAGCCACAGTAATAGAAGCTCAGCTAGAATGTATAAGGGCAAGTCAATTCTGTGTAAGTGATGCACTTAAGGGCACAAAACACACACACACACACTGATACATTTTTGCAGAGGAGGTTTGAACAGGAGTTGACTATCTAGGAGAACGTCTAGGCTAGACTTTTTGTTATTGCAATGTCTGACTCACTGGCGTGTTGCATAATACTCACCCCAATCCATCTTTTCCTGCTATTTCTGCCAATATATCCTTGATTTCTCCAGACCTGTTATATCATGCCTTTTTTACATGTTGCACTTTTATCTTGGGGTGTGTGTGTGTGTGTGTGTGTGTGTGTGTACAGATACATACATAGCAGATACATACATGCTGTATACAGATACATTCATAGCAGAATACACAGATGAGCATATCATTGCACCTAATGTGTGGCAGTGAAGGCAGCAACAAAGGCTTACTCTGCCATTTCTGTCCCATCCTCAAGTAGCTACCCAGCTGAGATTTTCTGAGTGGTTCAGCATTGTTTTCATCAGAGACCTGCTGGGATGATTTTGCAAGTCACTCTGAGGATGAAAATCAGTCACCTTCCTGCTGATCTCAGTGCTGCTATTGATGCAGTGTCTGTTGAGTTGTGCTAGTGCTATATTAGTTTGTGGAATAACACTGCTGGGTACTGCGCTGTACAAAATGCAGTCAAGATACACAGATTTCCCAAGACTGTTGGACATTTTGCATAATGGCCAAAGAAAGTACACAATTTCTTCTTCACAAATGGAATATCTGTACATTTTCCATGAATGTCTACAATGGCCTGTTATTTTATAGGACAGAACCCAAAGATTTTTTTCTGCCCTCATCAGTTTTCTTCCACTCTACTGATTATCATGTTCCAGCAGCTTCCTCTGCTTATGAAGTGGTGCTTTCATAAGTAGGGTAAAACAACATGATCAGAAATGCTCATTTCCTAGAGGACACAGGTCAGCAGAGTTGACATTAAGGAGCCAACCTGATTCCTTTCAAAAATAAGAGTTTCCATCATTTGGAGATTCCACTAGGAAACACTAGATCTCCTCTTGTGTAAGTGGTGGGTCCATTTGTACAAAGCACCATTTTTGCAATAGAATCACTAAGGCAGAAAAGTCAAGGATGTATGCACCCCATTATATATTACTGAGCAATCCTTCAACTCAGATTACCCCCATGTCTATACATCACTATATAATATCACATAATCAACACATACACCAAGGTCACAAAATTTTGATACATTCTGTTTACCTTTGTGATTTTTTTCTTGCTTTTTAAATCAGTTGTTGAGTGAGTTGATGCTGCACCCAGATCACTCTAATGACTTTTTCAGTGTATTTTCAGTGATTTCTGTGTAGCCAGTTAGGTGTTTCACTTTCCTTTTTTCACTTTCCAATGATAGGGAATTGTTTAATGAAGCCATGGCTTTCTGTCAGTTATTTCAAACTGCCTTGAAGGATAGGTAAACCTGACTGTGAAAGGTCGCCAAATAGGATTTCTACATTGATTCCATTTTTGTGTAGCAGTTTGTTTAAAAAAATTAAACTCTGTCCTGCATTCTTGCAGAATTAATCTGTGCAAGCAGTCTAAGGAGTAATCCATGAAGAAAAATGAACTGCAGGGCCAACATTAATAGTACCCAAAGATAATTAAAATAAAGTATTGCTAATCGTATGTTGGTTTAATGTTATATATCCTTACCCTTGTGTATTTGTGCTTCAGAGATATAATTTTTTATGTCATGCTGGAAGCTCTGAGGTTTATTAATCAAGGGACATGCATTTTATTAGTTGTGCAATTAGTGGATTTAATCCTTTGGTATTTGGAAAGTAATTAATCTTTGTATTCCATTAGAGGATTGGGAAGAAAACAAACAAAAATGGTTATTCATTCATTCTTCTCAGGCGGATGTTGGATTTTCAGTATCATGTTTTCAGAACGTTTATAGGCACTAAGTGCATAGTTCATTCACTTACACAATGTCTGTGTATCCATTTCTATAGCCTCAGGTTACCATTCAGAAATTGGTTCGTGGTCTGTGAGTAGAGCGACTCCCCTTTTTCTTCTCTGTCACATTTCTCGTTCTGTACTCACGGAGGGCAGCAGCCTGAAGAGAGAACATCCTGTATGTTTTGGCATTCTCCACACAAACCATAATGTGGATTTCTCAATATTCTGTTTCATGTGAATACCATCTATGGAACAAGAGGTTTTCCTCTTAAGACTGTCGTGCTTCATTCGGGTGAAGATTGGTGCTGGGGATCTTCTCCCTTAAGAAAGCTGCTGTGTCTGTTTTGGGTACCTTAACAGGACTTTCTCTAGAATAACATAGAGAGTAAGTGCATGATACACTTATTGTTTGATGCCATTAAGCATTAGAAGGTATAATTTCACAGTCAAACCCTCAGGTGTGCAGGTGGATTCTACTCGGGCCATTGGCTGAGCTTTGTCAAATAATTCTGTGCTATGCCATCTTATTTATTATTTCTTTAATTTCTGTACCACCCAATAGCTGAAGCTATAATTTAATGCAAATCTACAGCAGCGTCACTGTGCACCATGAGTGAAATTCTGGTGATTCCTTTGACTGGGGACAAAAGCAACATGTATTTACTTTTTATGTGGTATATTTTATATCTAGCCTTTTTCCTCTTTAAAGGAACACAAGTTGGCAGGCTGGCTTCTTCCCTAATTTAACCTCACAACAACCCAGTGTGGTAGGCCAAGCTGTGAGTCATATTTTGAGAAAAAATGCACAATAGTTTGTGATCATTGATTAACACAGTATTTTTGTGAACACTGATCACACATTAACTATGCTTTGAAGTTACGGCCGAACCTTCTCCTCCTTTCAGCTTTGGCTTTGTTTGGTGCTGAAAATATTTTTCAGTAGAATACACTTTTCATTCTTAATTTCTGCTCCACCATGCTGCTCAATAGTTGAAGTCATGATCTGTTAACCATAACCACATATTCTTTTCTCAGTAAGTATCCCTTCCTTTTTTGATATTGCATCTTACAGCTCTCTGATGCTGTATTCATATCTGATGAATGCCAACCATATTTACACAAAAAGGCCAGCAGGAGGCAAAATGCCTCACGAAGTTTATCTTTCTTTCTTCTGCACTATGTTTCATCATACACTGATTATTATATGATAAAATACTGATAATGAATAACTAATGGGAAAATACTATGATGGTGAAAACACATGGATAAAAATATGTTTGCGCACACATGCATGCATGCACGCACGCACGCACGCACGCACACACACATACACACAGTGAGAGAGATTCATCTAGTTACTGTACTTTTTTATCTCCTGAGCAAGTTGCTGAGGCATGGAGTTAGGCCGAGAGGTAGTAAATGTCACATGGACAAACTGTGAACATCAAGGCTAAGGGGGATTCAACCCTGCTCTTCTGCTTCTAGTCCTTCATTCTAGGACTTGCACTGGCTCCAGGTGTGTTCATACCACATTTGTGATACAGATCCATTGCCACTACCTCTCACAGTTACCAATCATAACCTAGTTTCTCTCAACCTACACCTGACCACACTGCACCTCTACCTTTCCCTTAGCCTGTGGTCTTCCCTACCCATCACCTGTCAGCTTTCTTTCTCAGGCAGTGTTTCCCTTTTTACACTCATGCTGTCTCTTAGGAAAATATCTTATTGGTTCCATGTGCTAAAGGAAACCACTGCTCATGCACACATCTAAAAATAGACCCAAACACACAGATATGTTCATCAGACTATCTGTTCAGAGTGCAAGATTCCATGTTCCCATTTGTCACCAAATGCCCAATGATAACTAAAAGACTATCTCCCAGCTGCATTCTATCTGGAACTGATGATCATGATCTGGGGCCTGAGTCCCACTTACTGCTATCTCCAAGGGATGCTTGGTTGGTGGCAACAAGGAGAACAGCCTTTTCAGTGGTGTGCCCACCGTTGTGTAATAAGCTCCCCACTGAAGTCTGCCTGGCATCAACTTTCATAGCTTTT